TATTCTGGACAGACATTTTAAGCACATACAGTTCTGTCTCAACGCAAAGAATTTGGCTAGATCTTGAATGGAAATCTAGGAGCCTTTCCGTCCCGCAGTGCCACTGTCAGAAAGCCTTCACTTGGCAGAGCCCAAGACAAAATGTCTGAGATGCACTTTGCAGGTTTGGCGGAGGGGCAAGTCAGGTTCTCAGCAGCTTGACAGCATGGAGATATAAAGGTCCCTGACACAGACCCCTCCTCTCTAGCTGTATCGGGATCTACAAGCAGTGCTTCCTGTTTCACAGAGGTTTTATGAAAACAAGCATCCATTATTGACCTTCTGCTAACACAATTTTACTTCAAACTATGAAATAGGAAATAATGCTACATTGTTTTCTAATTTATTGTTTTTAAACTCCACATAGAACCCAATTCCTCAAGGCACAGAAACATTTGTTTAACTTAAAGTAGTCCCTTCACTAGGTTGTATGCCTATTTCCTCACCTGATCATTAGCGCCCTACAAGCCTGTGCTCACAAAGTATATTTGGCATTGGCTGTTCACAACAGCATTTTGGAGTATATTGTCAGGGAGTGTTTGTATGTTTCCATATGTAGGGAGGAAGAGAGGGTAGTAGCTTCAGAGAATCATCTCTACAACATATGAGACACGATCCTTGTAAACATGTCTTTTGGAAGTTGCTACAATTCTGCCAGTGTACATCATACATTAAAACAGCTTTTTTTTTTTTGTTTGTTTGTTTGTTTAGAATTAAGTCAATTTAATATTTAACCTCAAGAAAAATATTTATCAAATACTCAAAGTTGTTAGAAGTGATTAAAATAGTTCCAATAACAATTCCAAAAATGTACTTCTATTGTCACCAAATCAACATGTCATTTTCTTTTTCCTTTATATTTGAACATCAATATAATATAATGCAATACAATATATTTTTACTAGCAGTCAAAAACATAAAAATTCATTTTCAGCTACTGAGGTCAGATAATTGTACCAGTCAACTGAAGAAGTAATAGGATGAAATGAGGGGGTGGAAAAATTTGGTAGACCCCTTTAACAAACCAGACACTCGGTTTTGAGAAATATAAAATGTAACATTATCATTTTGAGCCACTGAATTATGACACTTGGCACAGAAAAGCAATTGTCTATAATTATATAACAAAAACACTTGTCACAGCTCAAAAGACAATACATGCATTAAGGAATGTAGATCCTAGAGGGCATTACCCTAGTTGTATATATTGTATAAAACCAATCGATTTTTCTTCTCTATCTTCAGTATTGGTTTTGCATGTTTTTAGAATATGCTAAAATTACAGAATTGGATAGTAAACGGTACTACTATATCACAAGTATTTAATTAGGTATCAAAGATCTCTAACTTCTGTTTGTTTTGGTGTTTTTTTATTTTAGTCAGCTAACTCTGTTCAGTATGTGTCATATAAGCACACACCAGAAGATTTAATGGTTTTAATTATACTACATACTAGCAGTTAGAGCAGTAGTCTTCTGTAGGAAAAGACTAAAGCACTGCAAGACAAAACCTACTATGCAAGTTCTGAGCATTTATTGTTAGATTCAAAATCCTTTGCTGTAGGAAAGTAAGTAGCAATTTTACACTACAAAAGTGTTAGTTAAAAAAAAATAAAAACATAAAGGTTCAGCTGTACACCAAAAATTAAAATTTTGTTGTTTCTCTTCCTCCAGGGTTACACTATACAGTTAAGTGAGCACCACTTTTAAACTACGTAAGTCAATCTTTCTGCATATGTATAATACAACAGCATGTGACTGTACTATACTAATACTAAGACAGACTATTATTCTATTACAGCTCATGCACTGCTGGAGATTCCTACAAAAAAAAAAAAAGAGTCCTTGGATTAATTTTACCTACTCAGTAACAAGCTGTCTACAGGTGCTGTTCACATATTTTATTTACTAAATGACAGGATTATTTTCCAATGTTTTAATTTCCTGGCAACAGCAACTGGAACAATGAAAAAAAAGAAGAAAAAAAAAAAAAAAGAATAAAAATTCATCCAGCACAGCTCAGAGACAGTAATCCAAAAAGAGAAAACTGCTGAAGAAGGAACCACACTGCTTGTAAGTGCTGAAAGATAGGATGTTAGATAATACTTGAAATAATAACACAGAAGGACTTCCAAATGATAGGATACAGTACTTCCACTGGCAGCCCAGGGGCAACAACCTCCCTGTTGAAGGTAAGTTGATGTAGCAAGGTGGGACTCAAGGACAACTTAATCAGAGTCAATTACCTTAAAGAGATGGGGGGAGTTAAAGTCACAGAAAATCAGATTCAGCGACAGTAGACCTCACTTTAGTAACATAAAGTACATGGATGCAGGCTCTACAGTGTAACACTGGGACTGTTTCCAACGTCAAGAACCTAGTGTCTCAGACCTCATTTAAAGATTTTACGCTCACCGTTATGAAATATTTATGGACATCTTGCAAATCTTCTGATGTTATAGTTTTAACCAGAAGCAAGTATGTCAGCTACAGAAAGTAAGTTCACGGAACATTGCATTACATCAATTTAATGTTCAATTTTTCATCATACATATATCAATTAACATTTGTTTTATAGAACTGAAAAGGTTTAAGTGAAAACTTCCAAACCAGACACACGTTTTCACACACTAGTTCAAAGCGAGAATAACTGCAATACCTAAAGCTTCAGATTCTGAAAAAGGCAACCTGTTATGAAAGTACATTAAAAAGTTACAAAAATGTAGTTTTAGGCATCCATTGCTGAAAATTTTGGTTTGCTCTTTATGCAAGAAAGTTACACAACAAAGCCTACTGAAAAGAGTACTTATAGGCTGAAACATACATAAGTCCTCTCAAAAGAGGTTTATGTTATGAAAATCGTCAAGGTGGTATCCCTTTTACATTGCCGGAAGACACTTCAGAGTATTTTCAGTTTAATTTTACACACAATTATGGCTTTGTTCATAGCTGAAAGATTACTGAAATACAACACATTCTTTCTATGCAGCTTTTAAAATGGAAGAGATTGCATGTGTATTGTAGCATAAGAGTAACCAGGGGAACATAAACACAAAACAAAAAAATACTTTATCAGTTCAAAGGATGCCCCATTTATATCGATAAAAATAAATTTTAGCATCACGCATATACTCTTCAACCAGAAAGTGACAAGTATTTGTCTGGAACTGTACTTTAAAACAGACATATTTAGTAATGGCAAGGAATACATTTATACCTTGAGTGTCTCAATCTTGGCAAACTTAGGTCTGAGAACTATAGAACTTTTATAATTACTTTCCCAGCAGGAGGTACAATTCATAATCTAGAGCATTTTTAATGCTTCTTGACTGCATGAACCCCAGGAGTTTGCAGAATCAAACATGATTCAGAAACTTTCTTTTTCCCCATTTGAAATATTACAAAAATGTAATTTCTAATTACAGACAGGATAGTATCCAAGAAGAATGACTTTAGTTCCTAGAATAGCACCCAAAGCTAACACACCAATCCCATGAGTATCCATATATAATAAATTCACTTAAAACTGATACGGAAAATTTATGTATCCATATCCTCAAGGCCTAAATATTCATAATGCTTACCTAGACTGTCCTGCTCAGGTGAGTACTGTGTGAAGGTGATTTTCAAAAAATACACTAGAAAACAGCAGTAACTATAAAAAGCTTTCCTGAAGCTCCTAAGTAAGAATTAAATTAAAATAATTGGTTCTGGATAAAACAACACGCCCCCAGGCTATTAGAGCTCCCAGTAGTTATACTGCAAATGAAACTGAAACAACTCATCTTAATCACTGTTTTGCACAGTGTATTGAGACTGCTGATGAAGCAAACTGAAAGAAACCAAAGGCTCTAAATGCTTGTAACTATTCCTGGTAATGGGAGCAAGCCCATTTCTGGTTTAAACAATGATATCCTAATGGCCCTCACTGTTGTAGATGTGAAGGAAGGAAAAGACTGACATTTACTGAAAACAGAATAATCCTGTAGGATGTGTAGGAAGGAAAAAAACGGACATTTCTTGGAAACAGAAGAACTCATTAGACTTCACAGCAGTCTTTCTAGAGACTGCAACAATTTGAGTTTTGCTGAAGGAAGGCACATACATCAAGTTAACACTTTTTAGAATTCCCCCACATCTAAAGATGCTTCCTGTGCCGTGATATATAATGGACTGCTTCAAAAACCAAGTCACATACAAAAATATTGCATTACTCTACAGGAAGCATGCAGCATGAGGCCTCGATTCAGCAGATAGTTAAGAGCAAACCCAAAGGGTCCTCTAGCCACACTGTCTACCCAAACCCCAAGATCCAATCTAACTGCAGCACGAGGCTGACAGATTTCAAGCTATCCCTGTAAGGATAAAAAAGGGCCTACTACTACTAAAAAAAAAAAAAAAGAGAGAGAGAGAGAGAAGATTGTGTGAATGGTTTCTAGGTTTATGCAGCAGACAGCAACTGCTTGAAGTATTTCACATCTGAAAGATGCTCCCACGTGCCTTGCACAGCAAAACCAGCCCCTCAGCAGCGTGGACTGGTTGACAGCCGACCCCACAAGACCGACCCCACAGCCGTGGGCACCCTCAGCGCCCCGGGCCCCGCCTCCCCAAGCGGGAAGCCTGCTGTGCACGTCCTCAGGCGTGACCCCAATTCCCCCCTCGCCTCTCTGCCGGCAGCCACCCTGCGAGCGCCCTCCCTAACCTCAGCCCCGAATCTTTTAACTCAGCCGAAAATACGCGCACAAAGGGCATGGGGGTGGCGGGGAGGAGGAGGAAGAAAAAATCGTTTCCTGTTGCTTTAATCCCTTTAGTCAGGCTTAAGTAACGTCGCCCAGGGCGCGCTGGCTGGGTGCCTGGCTGCAGAGGCCGGCAACGAGAGGCCGCCGGGGGCAGGGGCAGGCCGGCGGCTCAGCCCCGCTCCCCCCAGCCGGGAGGCGCCGGGAGCCGCGGGGCGGCGCGTCCGGGGGCTGCCCGCGGGGGCCGCCCGCCGCCACCTCCGGCCTCTCGCAGCGCCGGCGGCGGAGAGGGGCCGGGCGGCTGCGGGGGAGAGGGGGCGAAGGCTACACACCCAGCAGCAGGCCGTCCATGTCAAAGATGAGGTGGGTGACCGGCCGCAGCGCGGCGGAGGAGGAGGAGGAGGAGGAGGAGGAAGCGGACATGGCGAGGCCACGGCAGCCGAGACCCGAGCGGTGCTGCTGGGGGCGGCGGCGCAAGCGTGTGCGGTGCCGGCGGGACGGGACGGGCGGAGCGGGGAGCGGGGGCGGCCGCTTTGTTATAATGAGTTCTTCTGGGCAGAAAAAGTCCGTTTCTCTGCTAGGCCTCTTCATGTGTGGGACTTTATGGGTTTTGTTTTAAGTCCCATTAGGTGCTGCTTGCTCCCGTGTTGATGCTTTAGATGGTTTTCCCTCAAAGTTTTATGTGCCCGTGTAGAGGTTTACAAGGGTACGGTTACTGCTGGACCGTAATACGAGCCGAGAATGGAAATCTTCAAATCTGTATATAACTGCGCATGAGGAAAGAGTGAAGTGGTAGAGGGTTTATCTTGAGAGCTGTTGAGCGTGAGGCTAGTTACTTCGCTTGTTTTCTGAAGTGGCTGAAGTTCAAGAAACAAACCATTGTGCCGCAGAAGAAGGAAACTCTTCTAACACACCACCAATTGGTTTTGACTGGTTAGTTGCGGGGGAAGAAGGCAACTTTCCTTATTGGCCGTTCCATATCTATTTTTCCATGCAGGTAACTCACATTTGTCATCAAGATCATCAGTTACAGGTCAAGACCCTGGTTGCAGAAGCAGAACTGATGGCAGCCACCTCATGCTCACAAGGTGCCACGCTGACCTGAAGGCCTGAGCTGCTTTAGGACTCTGTGCCAAAGCAGTGGTGGAAGGGAAACCCACTCTCTTCCTGTTGGTAGGCCTCTCAGCAGTTCATTTTCTCTGACAGCCCCATTAATTTGTCAATATTTCACCATTTTAGCAAGTCAGTGGTGTTTTTCAAGCTCTTATCTGTAGATGTCATGCAGCGATATCTTAATTTACACATCTTATATATCCCCCAAAACAACCCTTACCCTACATTTGTAAGAAATACGCAACATGCAGCCACACACCTCCTTCCGTCTTACAAATGAGAGGAGAGATAAAATATCTTCATCATTTCTTACCTTTTTAATAATAAAATTTCTCTTTCAAGCGAAGTTTTTTGAGTTTTGGGTTTGTTTTTTCTTTGTTTTTAACATGTCTCATTTTGAAATGGTTGTTTGTCATTACTGCTTAGGCCTGCATTGGCTAGGAAAAGCTGCGTGCAACGCCTTAAGTGTGTTTTTAAAATGTCTTGCACAGTCATGATGTGTGTCTGTTAGTTCTTCTGTTGAGGGAAGAAATTTGGTCCTGTACTTCCAGATGGAATTTTAATCTGTAAACCTACAATGTGGGTGTTAAGAATAATGCCCACAGCTATTTTGGTTCTCTTATAAATACTGTGCAACAGTATGGTCTTAAAACTTTTTTTCAGATAGCAAATGTGTTAGTAGTTCAGTTAACTGAGAACAGAGCCAAGAATTAAAAGAAAACCCAAACCCTAAATACATTATGTCCAAAAAAGTGTTAAAAAGGAGAAGTCATGATTATTTTAAAACTGGTAATACTGGTATTCTGTTACTCTAAGAAGGAATGAGTTTCTGCTATAAGAGTGTAAGCTGTTGTGGCAAAAGTTTCTAGAGGGTGAGTAATGAGGTTGTATAGCAGTTGTACCTGAGGTGGATTCCTTTGCTTTCTACTTATAAAATCTAAATCTACATCTACATCAATCTGTATCTATGTCTTTATTTAATTGTATTTGTTGGCATAGTAATGCCTGTACTTTTTAACAAGAAAAAGCTACAGTGATGTATCTTGACTCACCCTTTCAGAGAAAAGCATAAGTAGTTCACAACTTGAACTCCCCATCAAAAAAAGGAAAATATTTACTATTTTTAGCGTGTAGACCACCAGTTCACATCATGAAACACCAGGCTCGTACAAAGCTTCTAAACATTTAAAGTGCAAAGGAATGTGAAAGATAACCTATTTAAAAAAAGAAAAAAAAAATCCATCAAATGAAAGTATGCTACTCATAATGAACCTTTTTAGGGTTAAGTGGTCTGTGTTACAAATCTTATTGTTCACATTTCAAGACAGTCAGGTTAGCTGACATGCTGATGACCTCAATTTACTTTGCTTCACTCTGGCTCATCAGTGATAATCAACATAATGTTAGCTTCTTTGATTCTGTAAAGCTACATTCAAACACAGGAAAATCTTTGCAATATAGACAGACTTTAAATTTATTCATCGTGAATAAGTCTTCTTACTAACAGAATAAAATGTGATGAAAATCCAAGCAGAACTTTTAATGCATGGTGAACCATAGTTTGCTAGATGTACAAATAAGTAAAAATGTTGATCCGAGTTCTATTTGAGCTGTCTTTGTCTCAAACATCTTATAGGTAGTATTTTGTGGTTTGTTTTCCTTTCTTTTTTTTTTTTTTTTAAGGAGTTAAAGGTTGAGAATTATGCAATTGGCTATTTTGTTCACTACTTTTTTTAAATCACTTTTCAAGTGAAAGTAACATTAAAATAACTTGTGAGATGCGGAAAGCATAGCGCAGTGGAAGCGTAATAACCATGAAAACTAATAGTTAATTATTTGTCTATTAACCTAATATCCCCTTATTGAGAAGGGTGAACTGGAGTTACTGAAACATAATGATTCAAGTAAGCTTGATTACTGCAAAGTCTGAAGAACATAGTTAGCTTCATACACATTTTTAATGCATTTAACTTTCTATTTATGCACATACCAAACCAGACAAATAAATCTTTGCTGAGTTTTACTTTATAAGGTAATATGCGGTACATATACATGCTGGATGTCCAGGTTTTTAAAAGATTGTAAATTAGTTGCCTATAGGCAACTTCTATTCCTAAGCACATCTATTTTCTTTGGCTTTGTGATAATATGATAAAGTTGCTTTGGTTTTATTGTTCTTGAATGTGCAATAAGGGGAAAATATTCAGGTGCCTATCCATGCAGTTCTTAAGTGTACAGTACAATATTTTACGTACACAGTCCACATAACCTTTCTTAACCTTTCCATGTTTTATTATTCTTTACCTTGAAGCTAAAAAGTTTTCTGCATCACTGAAACTTAGCTATTAAGTTCTATTCCTGGAAAGTAAAAGCTTCAGAATATGCTTAAGTGTTTTCTTGGGTAATACACTTGACAAAATTGCAATCTCCTATTTCATTACTTTATACTGTTCTTGAAACATGGATTCACTTACAGGATATTTATAGCATTGATAGGAGCATCATGCACTATGTGTTTCATCCTGAAATGACTGACTTTATTTTTCTTGTTCTGCAGGCACCTTGGCAAAGAGGATAAACAGATTATAATCCATTTTGATTTGAATATTAAAAAAGAATCTAGAGACATGAATAAATCCAGTAATTTAAAAGCTTTCAGAATGATTTACATGAGCAGCTTTTAAAACCACTATTACTAACAAATTACTTGGAATGACTTGGAGTTAAATGTTATTTAATTCAAGTATTACCTGAGATTCATAACACTTGCTATAGTTGAGCCTATAAGCCCTCAGAATGAAACTCCTCCCAGTGCTGGATGTCACCACGTAAGAGCTTTTCACCTTCAGAATGTGAATTAAATTAATTTACTGGGTTTGCTCCTGTTTTTATAGTTGAAAAAGGGAAATGATCCTAGGCCTTAAGACAATGAAACAGGGGCATATATATGTTCAAAGTCATATTACAAATATATATATAATCAACAAAAAAAGTCAAAGTATATCCTTGTATATTAAAAGCATGAGTATTCTTATAGCCAAGCATATAGGGGGATAAGAGCCATCCGTTTTCTAGATTTTGATATCTGGCACCAGATACAAGTGAGTTAGTTACAAAGGCAAGAAAGATGATGTCTTATGCTTACGGAGAACAAAGTGATGAAGAAGATATATGTTGGAAATCTATAAATTTAAATGAGGGACCATAATAAGGTTTTTAAGCAGCAATGAAGGGTGAAATTCCCAAAGAGCCAACCAAGCATACACGGAGGAACAAGATATCTAAGATACTTTTAGATGTCAATTTTTATACTTATGGATGAGAATTTACAACAGAATGAACAGGTTCAGAAGCTGGGAAATGAAAATTTAATGTCATGCTTCAGGATCATTTGTTGTTTCCATTAAAGTCAGAGAATAATTTTTGCTCCTTTATATTACGTGGCCCATGATTTAGCCTTTTGAGGGATACAGAGAGATAATTTTTGATCTCTCAGTAAAATACTGTCTGCATATGGGCAAAATGTGCAAATAATTAACAGTGTCATTGTCACTGAAATCCTAAATATTTAATGGGTGGGTCCTGCTTAGCCTTAAACTATCAGAAGGATTAAGGCAGAAGATAAAGCGTACCAACATAAAGTTTGAACTGTTGTATTTTATGCTTTTCCAGTGAGATAAAGTGAGATAAGGCCATTTTTTTTATTTATCTAACTTCACATTATTGCAGGAGCCTAAAACAGTTTGTGCTTTTGGTTTTCTTTGTCTGCATGTGAATTTTATGGCTATATTTTTTCATTTTACTGCATTTTGATTGCTACAGATGATAGGAAAAAGTATTGCCACACAGAACACGTATTCCATCAACCCTCCTGAGCAAGACATCTATCACTTGGTTGTCTGGAATAAGCTGGATCTATATGCATACACCCTTCCAGTGGTTCCTTTCAGTTCTAAGTTCCTAAGTTCAACATCATTAAAGGTTGAGGGAGAACGAACAGTGTTTTCTGGGTCATGAGCTTTCTGATGCACTGATTTGTCATGTTCCAGATTCAGGTTTTATATGTGTGTACCGCACTCAGCATGCAACAAGCAGGAGAGTTGAATATTCACAGGTTGTTTTTGTATTCTGAGTGTACACCCTTATGATTCTATATCTACACAGAAGAAAAGACAAAAATGAGCTAGCTGATACTCAGCTAAGAACGCCTACGTGTTCAGGGGCAAACAGTCAACCTAGGTAGTACAGGAGACTGTTGGAGGCCAGCTGTTGTACTATGGTACACAGCATTTCTTTTTCTGGAGTGATTTTACTGGTCCAAGTATCTAGACCTATCTAGACAGAAGCCATAACACCATTCTGGGACATGTGAAGGAGCATTTTTTTTTTTTTTTTTTTTTTTAGTTGCAGGAGTTAACAAACAGACCAAAGAAGTCATAATTCCCTATTGGGAATGCCTCTTTTTCCCTCTGAAGCTACTACACTCTCTTCCTCCCTACATACGGAAACATACAAACACGCCCTGACAATATACTTAAAAACGCTGTTGTGGACAGTCAATGCCTAATATGCTTTGTGACCACAGGCGTGTAGGGTGCTAATGAGCAGGTGAGGAAATGGTCCCTTCATTAGGTTGTGTGCTTACTTTAAGTTAAGCGAATGTTTCTGTGCCTTGAGGAATTGGGTTCTATGTGGAGTTTAAAAACAGTAAATTAGAAAACGATGTAGCATTATTTCCTCTTTCATAGTTTGAAGTAAAATTGTGTTAGCAGAAGGTCAATAATGGATGCTTGTTTTCATAAAACCTCTGTGAAATAGGAAGCACTGCTTGTAGATCCCAATACAGCTAGAGAGGAGGGGTCTGTGTCAGGGACCTTCATATCTCCATGCTGTCAAGCCATTGAGAACCTGACTTGCCCCTCCACCAAACCTGCAAAGGCTGCCATGAGGTCTCCCCTTAGCCTGCTCTGCTCTGGGGCTTCAGCTGCTCCTCATACGTCTATGCCCTGCAGACCCTTCACCATCTTTGTTGCCCTACTTAGACAGCCCATTGTCATTTGTCTGTTCTTTTTTGGAGGGTTTAAGAAACTTCATCTCTTTAACCTTTCCTTATAAGTTATTCTTTCTGAAGCTTTGAGCATTTTGATTGCTCTTCGAGATTCTAGTTTTTCTGTATCATTAGAAGTCCAGCACTTGGATAGGTCAAGTTTTGCAACCGTGGGTTTTAGAAGTGAAAAAATAGAAAGGTCGCCTTCCACTAATAGGCTGCCTTCTTAGCTCCAGATACAGCATTCCTTTGAATTAACACAGGAACTGAATTACCATTTCTGCCGTAATTTTATTTTGTTCACTAATGAATGATATGTAATTCTCAGGAATATTTGTTCCTACTGCTTCTTCGATTGTTCCCCATTTTGATCTCAGCCAAATGCTTTGACTAATCCGTTTTCCATCTTATATTTTTGATCCTGTGCTCTCCAATGCAGAGTTTATTGTGGCAGCAAATAAATAAATAAATTAGCACTAGAGGATTCTTTGATAAGAAAAAAAAAAAAAAAAGGTCTGTAGGAACTGTAGTTCACATGAAAAAAATATTGTAGAAATTGAAAGATGAAGAGAGAGAACAGGTGCTGGAGCCTTTTTGTATGACACACGGAGGCTATTTTGAGGCTAATCAAGTTTTCAGCTAACTGCTCTATGAATGTTACTGCAGATGTAGTTTACCAAAAAATAATCTGTGGTCTTTTATTATGACCAAGTTTATATATATTTTAGAAAAGCAGGAGGGAGAGATCATTAAAGAATATTCATGATCAAACCATTGATGCCATTATGATCAGTAGGCAGAATGGATTCTAAAAGATGTTATTTATTTTACACATTTTAGTGCAAATATAGTTCAGAATTAAACCAAATTTATTATATCATTGTAGTCTTTATTTACACTGTATATTTCCTGACTGGATCACTTTTAGCTTAATTCTCATTAAAAATATTTGCTATTATACTCCACTGAAAGAGATCAGTGGCAACATGTCTACCCCATGAAGAACTTAATATGTCTTCATAGAGTTTTAAAGATCTTTCTGCATGTATTTTAAGTATGAGAAATGATTATCTTGCCAGCCTGATGAGGCAGCTATCTGAAAGAAAGTGTATTACAGAATGAACTGTTGTATCACTGTTTCAGAAATGATGCTTGTGTCATTTAGACCAGTGGCTGCTACAAGCAATAAGTAATGGGTATTATATTATATTAATGACCAGGTTTGACAACCTGACTCCATACTCTTTTTATAGTTTTTAAATTATCTTTCTTTTTTAGGCCAATAATTATGCACTCATCGGGCAAAAGTAGGCTAATGCAATTTTCCAAAAGCTATTAACAAGACTTGTAATATTAAGATGGCTGTATATCCCAATTAAGTAGGATGTGCCACCCAGACACCAGACACCTTGAGTTGCAGTCATGAAATGAGGTAGGGTTAGGCTGTATTCTTGAGTTGCAGAGCTCTGAGGAGTCTGATGTGCTTCAGGAAGCATAGAGCTTCACTCAGTAGATGGCACTGTTGCCACTGATTCTCTACCTGCATCTTCTGGGGTGGAATCCACACTATCTGCATTTTAAAGTGGGTGGAAATTAAATAAACCCTTGCCTGCTTGCAGTTTTAAATTGTTTCATTTAGTTGGGTGTTTGCTGCTTCTTGAAAGACCTGACAAAGGGTGGGGATCTACACATTCATCTGCTTTTTCCAACTTATCCATGTAATATGATAAAATAATTTCTCTAGTATATTCAGTGAAATATATTTTCCTGTCTATTTAAGGGTTTTAAGGGAGTTTTTTAAGGGTTTTGTTCTATGTGTGACTTGAAGTAACCTAGACAAGTATTTTGTAGTCAGAAACTGTGTCTACAGTGACTACAAAACCTGGATCATAGAATCACAGAATGGTTTGGGTTGGAAGGGACTTCTAAAGATCATCTGGTTTCAGCACCCCTGCCAAGAACAGGAAAACCGTATACTAGATCATGTTGCCCAAAGTCCCATCCAACTTGACACTGAGTACTTCTCAGGATGGGCATCCTCAACCTCTTTATACAATCAGTTCCAGTGCTTAACCACCTTACATTTTTTTTTCCCTTACAATATTAATTTAAATCTAGCCTCTTTCAATTTGAAACCAGGAAAAGGCTTTCACCATCTTTTCCATAAGCCCCATTTATATATTGAAGGCCTTCAGTAAGGTCTCTCTGTTGACATCTATTTTCTAGGCTAGACAAACCCAGCTCTCTCAGCCTGTCTTCATAAGAGAGGTGCTTCAACTGTTGGATCATCTTCATGGTTCTTCTCTAAACTTGTTCTAATAAGTCAATGCCTGTCTTGTACTGGGGGCCCCAGAGCTAGATTCAGTACTTCCAGGCAGGGTCCCATGAGGATGGAGTAGAGGCAAAGAATTTCTTCCCTTTCTTGACCTGCTAGCAACACTTCTGTTTGTGTAGTCCAGGATACAGTCTTTATTCGTAAATGACACAGCCACTATGTTCTCCCAGTTGAACTCCTGTCTCTAACTCTTAACTAAAGTTAAGCACAAACATGAAAAAGAAAATGCCAAAATCATTAGAACACATCGCTGAGTTTCATACATAAAAGCTGTTGTGACATCCTCAGAACTGCACAAAGTTGTGTGTAATCCACCAGTTTCAGAAATTCTTTTCATATAATGATTCTCTTACAGTCCTTCAGGATAACTACATGGTTATAAAATTTCTAGAGTAAAACTTATTACTGCTGTTCTCAAACTGATCCAAAGAGTGAATGGATCAAAGTATTTTTCACTGTTTTTAACTGAAGATTTGCTGCAGAATGAAAACCCTTTTGCAACCAATCACTAGGAACAGCATAACTGCATCTTTTCATTCTAGATATCTATGGCTTTCAAAACTATCTTCTAAAATTAGCTATGTTCCTTGGATTTTACCGTGAAAGAAAAAATAATGCAGAGAGAAGAAACGTTTACAGAAATTCTCCCTTTGTCCAATTTTTAGTTCTGTTATTGGTGGTTTTCATTTGAAATCCTGTTAAAAATTAGTTGATATTAATGGATTTATGTGAGTAAAAGCATTTAAATGTGCACCATCATTCATCCAGTCTAACACAGGAGTGATCTTTATCGTGCTTTGTTTTCACAAATACCTACTTTCCCTAGTAAATAAACTTGTAGTCTTGTTTAAGTTTGAGCCTAATCTTTTAAAACACTGGTAGAGATGTTTTGATGAACTGAGTCAAAAGGTCTGGCTCACTGCAGCTCCTTCCTGACACTAGATCCAAATGCTCTGTCCTTGCACTAGGTTCCAGTAAATCCAGTCAGGGATCTTTGCATAAAACATTGTTTCAATTTGATTTCTCCCAATCATTTAGTTTGCTTCGGTATTTTGCCTTATTAAAACAAAAAACAAACAAACAAAAAGTTTGTATTTAGAATGCAAGGGCTGTAAGTTCAGGTGCTTTATTGGCAGTGGTTGTCACATGTCTTTGGACATCTGTCTTTCTCTTCCTGATAAAATTTTCACATTAAATAGATTGGCATAGGTGGAGAAAGATAATACATAAACTAGCTACCACTTTTCAAAGTTAAATGAATGATTTTTTCATGTTAGGGTCCTTGGGCTTCCTGCAAGTAGTCATTTTCTGGGATCATACATTGTATCTAAAAGAATGCATGGTAAGCAGAACAGGATGGCTGAGGAGTACAGTGAATTTCTGAATAGCACCCCAATGGAAGAGTTTGAAAATCACTGATCTGAAATTATGCTTATAAAGGTGTTTTAATACTTTATAAAAAAAATAAATAAATAGCTACATTCTCCAGACATATTTACCATGTGTACAGAACGCAGAAACATACCTGTAATTCTTGTACTGCCCTTGTTTTGCAAAAATACGATGCCGTGGTGGCTTTGCCTTGCTGGGCAGCTGAACACCACAACCGCTCTCTCACTCCTCCTCTTTAGAAGAGAGAGATAGTATGCTCGAAAAAAAAAATAATCATGAGTTGAGATAAGGATAATTTAATTAAAGGGAAAAAGAAGGGGGAGAGGGGGGGAAGCACAGAGATAGGAAAAGAAATTACTCTCTACTTCCCGTCAATGAGCGATGTTTGGCCACATCCCAGGAAGCAGGGCCTCAATATGCGTAGCAGTTGTTTGGGAGGACGGATGTCTTCATAACGAGCCCCCTCTCCTGCCCCTTTCCCGCCTTTTATTGCTGAGTGTGACATTATAGGGCACGGAATATCGCTTAGGTTGGTTTAGATCAGCTGCCCTGGTGATGTCCCCTCCCTTCCTCTTTCCCACCCCCCCAGCCTGTTGGCTCTTGGAGGGTTGGAGGGCGTCCTGATGCAGTGCCAGTATTGTGCAGCAATAGACACTGCACTGGTGTGATACCACTGCTGTTCCAGCTACGAGTGCAGAGCACAGCACTGTATGGGCTGCTGCAGGGAAAGTTAGCTCCATCCCAGACAGAGAGTATAGATGCAATGTCAGTAGCATTTGAAAAGCCTGACAGAAAATCTTCAGCAACAAGTTAAAATGGGTTCTTGGTTAGGCCTGTATGTATATGCATTATGAAAACACATTGAAATTGTTCCCTACTAGTGAAGTAGTTTCTTACCAAAAAGCAGCATAGGTGTTGTATAACAAGACATTGTCATTTTTCAGTGTTGTCCTTTTTTCTCCCCCTCCACCCTTGTGTTTCAGTTCACGTGACTGGACTTTGCACCCATTTACCAATAATAAGAGAACAGACATCTTGTGTGAAAACTAGAGGCAGAAACAGAAACCATTCCGTGCTGCAAGGTAAAATGCCCCTTCCACTCCCACGTCTGTCATATATATATTTTTTTTTTTCCTTTTAAACTTTGAGTTCATCTATAGTTGGAGCTCATATTCTTTCACAGCTCAAAGCAAATATTTCATGACAGGAAATTAGCAATTATGTGAAGTAATAACACGCAGTTTTGTCTTTTCTTCATTAGCTTAATGCAATGTGTTTTATACAAGAAAGAAAAAGAAATACTGATACTGTCTTTTCTTGTCTGTAAGGTACTGCCAAATGTAATGGCAAATTATTTTTCAACAAAATGCACTTCATTATTGCAGTGGAGTAGAACATTTCCTGCCTACAGTGGGTTAAAAAGAATATAAGCTTTACTTGAATTCTGAAAGCATTTTGACTGAAAAATAAAGCAGGGTCCTTGTGAACTAGAACATATTCCAGCAGTACAACAGTGGATTTTTTCTTACCACTTAAGCTCTAGTTGTTTAAAAAGTAATGTTAAAAGTGTATGTAATTTTGATTACAGACTATGTTTCAAGATCCAGTGGAAATAAATTGTTAAATAGTTTTGGAGGTGGCTACATTCTGAAATAAGCTTGCAGTTCTGAAGTGACCTTGTTTTATGTGCAGTATAATCTCACAAAATCTCTGGTTCAAATGTGGAAATGTGTAAGACTTAACTATAACTTTTTAGGTGATAGTAAGTCTAATCTCTCCTTTTGTAATCTCACACACATCCAACCTGCTAACTGGGGGTAAACACAGTTACGAAGAAGACAGTATGCATAAGAAGAACCACTGAGATAGAGAGTATGGCAAAGAATGATAGAGAAAGAAAGAAGGTAAGGCAAATCTCATAGCTTCTGAATAGGTTGTAGCTGCCAGGTTTCTACAGAAGGACTACTTGTGGGCAGGCACTTGAGATGAGAAGGAAGGAAGATGAAAGAGGAGAAGCCTATTTAACCAAAACACATGTTGAGCAGAATCTGACCGCATGTATTGCTTGCTATGCAGTTTTGCAATGACTCATTAATAATATGGGTTCTATACGTCCTGTTTTCTCACAAACATATTTTCTGCTTCTGTCCTTAGGGTACTCTCCAGGCGGACTTCAGGAAGTGTGGTCCTGTATCTGGGTGTTCAATCCCTGTCAGACCAGCAGCTGAGGCTGTTCTAATACCTGGAGAGCCACAGTAGCCAATAGGAAGCATTGCATACTGCTGCCCAGTGGAAGGGCATGCGTGGTAGGGAGAGAAAAGTTGTGGAGACGGCAAGCAGGGAGGAGCAGCAGCATCAAGAGTAGTAATGGTAGAGTGCCAGTGGTAATAGCAGTGCCTGGGCAAGCAAAATTGGAGGATTCAAGCAGCTGCATTCAAAAGGTATTCAGTCTCAATCTGTATTAATGGCACATTAATATGGGCTTCTTGAGTGGGAAGCGATTTGGAGAAATAAGGACATGGTTTAGGAACTGCAGAATAGTTATCTTGATTTTATAAAAGGAAGTTTGGGGACGAAGAGGAATGAAAGTAAATTAATTTAGGGTGAGAAGAGGGATTGGAGAAGTCAGAACATTTGAGATGGGTTGCTGAGAAGTGCTTAACAAGAATTGTGGCTATGACACTTAGGGCTGTGCAGGTGTGAGTGTGAACTGCTTCAGATTCAGTATGATAATGGCCTTGTATTTTTTGCTTCCTTGACAACTGTTTGAAATTAAAAGGCAAAGGTGTAAAGATGTCCTGTTCTTTTTTTTTTTTTTTTTTTTTTTTCCTGACATGCTAAAGAATCAGTTGATGAGCCATACTCAGAAGGAAATCTTAGGGCCCAGAGCTCACACACCTGTTTTTCTCTGACATTGTCCTAAACAAACCAGACTGGTGTTTGCATGCGAACACACTTTCTTGCAAAATCCCTAATGTTACAAAGTGTGCTTAATTAGAAGTATTAGCATTATAATTTCCTCATTTAGATTTCTATTTGTTTTTTTTTGTTTGTTTGTTTTTTTGTGTGTGTGTGTGTGTGTGTAATTTTTACATACCGCACTCCTGACAGAACTGGTTGTATGATGAAGAAAATAAGAAGCTGATAGATATCGTTTAGTCATTTACAAAAGTTAGTCTTAGGAAGAGTCACATCTCCTGTTCATATCAATTATTATAATAGACAACTGAATATGTTGTCTATTATAGCAGTTGTCTAACAGTAACAGTAAACTACTAGTCCTGAAAAATGCATGTTGGACAAAATACTGTATGTTCTTTTTCACTGATAAACAGAATCCATCCTTTAAAAACAAAACTATGTGTCATTCCTATGCACAGAGTGCAAAAAATGTACTTACTTATAAAAACTTACTTACAGAGATTCTGATATGATTAAAAAAGCATGTTGTTCATTTCAAACATACTTGCAGCATGCTCCAGTCCAGGCCAGAAGATAATGAGACCCCTGGAGCTATTACTGAGAAACTGTTCAAATGTTAAAAGAAAGTTAATACTGATGTACCACAAGAAAATGAAAAAAAAAAGCCATTTGGAATACTTTTTATATTTCTTTATGGTCTTAAAATGTCATACAAAATAAGGTGAAAATGAAGTGAATTAATATAGTCTTGAGCTAATGATCATTTTCATTCAGTCTGTTGTGTTGGGATTTTGTCTTTCTTAGGTCATATGTGCAAAGGGATGATGTTCTTTTAAATTCTTGTTTTAACAGCAAGAATTTAAAAGTTTTCTACAGTCCTTATGAAAGAGGGAATAAAAATTAGAGAAAAGAAAGGGAGAGAGAATGGGGAGGGGAGGAAGGAGCAAGAATTTTCTTGAGGGGCACACAGAAGAAATCTTGATACTTTATGTATTACATGACTTTTCATCCTATATTACTGAAATACAATATACATATTTCTATGCTGTTTGGTCAAGATTTTTTTTTTAAGTTAGACTTTCAGAAACCACTTAGCTTCTTCTAGTATTATAAGCAGATATTTTTAGCTGTAGAATTATGTAGTATTTCAGATATCCTTGTTTTTAAGACATTAACACTTACTGCTGCCTAATCCTATATTTAAAGTGTCCATCAGATATTTTGCCCAGCCAAGTATATTCACAAGGTTGTTTTTTTTTTCCATTTTATTTTATTTTATTTTATTTTATTTTATTTTATTTTATTTTATTTTATTTTATTTTATTTTATTTTATTTTTCTTGATGGGGGAGTAAGTCAGCTGCTCTTTTGATTCTGAAATTCGTAAAGGTTTAAATCTTTAAGGTCCAGAAAAAAAGTTGACTAATATATATGCATTATTTTGTTAATGTCTTTTCCACTTGGTTTGCACATTTTTTAGGAGAAGAAACTGATCTATGTAGCTTGCAATCAGACTGCTATATAACAACTATCCAGCTCATAATTCTTTTCCTAATTGTACAGGTCTTCTCTCCAGGATAAATATATTAGTTTTTAAGTTTTTAAAGACTGGTTTTTAAGACTTCCTAACTTCATGATCTTTACCTTTTGTTTCTACATCTGTTTTCCAATACTAGTATTTAATTTTAAAGCTGCTTAATGTTTACAATGAACAATGCTGCTGGAGTATCTTTATATTAGAGCTGGTTAGAAAGTGGCTTGCCATCTTACTAGTTTTTTATTTTTATTTTTTTACGTTTCTGTTTTTTTTTGTCACCATGTTAATTGGGGCAGAATAAAAATAATGAATGAATAATTATGTTCTCTTTGTTCTAATTTTGCATTAGGTCATAAAAACTTGGGGGTTTGAGCTGATCTTTTAGGCCTGCTCAAAATAACATAGTAAAAGTATCTCCCTGCCCAAAAGAACAACAGAATAGGTTTGTTTTTACCTTGTAAATGCTAAACAGGCCTTTTTTTTTTTTTTTCTAAATGTAAAAATAAAAGAGAACAATTTCATTTATAATGTGTGACATACTTTTTTTTCATTATATTTTTATTTTATTTTACTAGAAAGTATACCATCAAAAAAAATTCCAAACTAATTTCATGACTATTTGCAGAATGAGGATACATCAGCCCCTTAATATTTCTTCTATTACAGAAATAATAACACATAATTTCTGAATTAGTTTTGTGACCAAAGTAACAAAAAAATAAGTTTTCCATTGTCCTAGAAATTGAAGAGAGTAATTTTGGTCATCAATAAGGTGTTACACTTAATCTTTTCTTCATATCTCTCGCGTGTGCAAATGAAGAGAAAGGAAAAGCTATTTTTTAATATTGTGAGCCTCCTGCTTACACCAGAAACACCACACATCAGCTGATCTCAGACAGATTTATTTTTTACTTAGAAAGCTTTGCCATTTCTATCTCTGGTAAAAGGCTTGCTTTTGTAATCTGAATGGATTGAATCATAGGAAAGAAAATTTTAGTTAACCAACAACTTGCCATTGGATCTATTTATCCCTTTTAATTGTAACCCACACAGCTGCTCTTTCATTTCTTGTCCTTCCAGTGGGGCTGGGGAAGAAAATAGGAACAGGAGCGAGAAATCTCATGGATTACAGGTAGCACAAATATTTAATTACCCATTGGAGTACTGGGAAACAAAAAAGAAGGAAAAACATTTAAACACTTCGGGAAAATACTTTCCTTCCTCTTTCCCTGGCTCATCCTCACTTCAGATTCTTCTCCTCCCCCGTTCTAGTCTGCTTCACTCCAGACACCTCTCCCCTTCCCTTGTTGCAGGTTGCACCCAGTTCCTTCAGAGAGGCAATGGGTGGTGCAGGAGGATGACACTGGTGCATAGCAGTTTCTTTCTGCAACTCCATGTTTCTTACTCTTTTCCTAAGATCTCATGTGGGTTCTCCATGGGCTGTGGACCCTTTGGGCCTGTACCTGCCCAGGCATAACAGAGCATCTCCTGTTGCTCTGACTGTGTTGTTCCCTCCTCCTCCTCCCTTTCTGTCCTCTCCCCATTCTCTCCCTGTTTGCTCCTCATCAGTATTTTTTGTCCTTAAATATGTTTCCCAGAGGCACCACCAGAATGGCTGATGGGCTCAGCTGTGCTCTGCAGTGAGGACCATGTTTCAGGGCTGGCTGGAGCTGGGGCAGCCCTTATTCACTTTTCACAGAGGCCACTCTACAGCCCCTCCACCCCACCAAAAATTGGCCACCTAGACACAACCATTTCTTCTTGATTACTTTAGATATCTTTTAGTACAGTAGTGCTAAGTGTTTGCAGTGGTATGGATTGAACAGTGGAGAAATGCAAGGGTTGATTACAGTATGCCTTTCACCATCAAATGATCAACATATCTATATCTATATATCATATGACAGGTGCACTGCTGTTTTCCTTCCTCCTACACTTGACATGACACAACAGGCATGTGCACCACAATGGCCAGAATGAGCACATCCCCCATAGTGTGACGGGGGGTAGAGGGATATGTGTGATACTTGGGCATGGGGTAGTTGTATCCCAGTGACATGACTAAAAGGTATCCTTTCCACATGAACCGCTGGATAGTGCCCATGCACAATCACACACTTGTTCTTGTCATATGTCAGGAGCTAAGGTGTTTTATTCTTCTGTGGCAAGGACCTTGTGAAATAAGGTAATCAGCTCTAGCAGTGGCTGGCTGGTCACAGGCTGCTGTGGTTTTCCCATGTGTAGCATAAAGGCAAGAAGGCAGCAGGGAGGAGGCTGTGAACCACAATCAGGTAACACTCACAGTCATTTGGTTGGTCATCCCTGACAACAGCTTCCTTGAAATATCATCTGGATCAGGTAACAGCAGGGAATGTAATTTCTGTTCTGTCAGAAGTCTGTCAGAGATACAGTTTATTTGTCTGATCACACTCATGATTGTAACTTAAATACAGGGCCAGCTATAGCTGACTTTATTCAGAGAATAAATTACCAGTATTTCTATAAAATAATCCTTGCTGTTGGATGTAATCACTCATATCAATTTTATTTACTTATTTTTAATTGAGAGTAATGAAAGAATAGGGTATTTAAGAATATTCATCAGATTACTATACAATCTGTGAAGGAAAACTAGTTATATGCCTCCCTTGGAGAAAAAATTTGCAGCTAAAACTCATGAAGAATTGTCCCTAGTTCTCATATTTCAGTGGTATTACACAGAGTAAGAAGTTGTTACGCCAGTAAGGTTGGTAGAGCACATTATATTAATGGAAGAGTATATTGGTTGTTTATTACACAAAGGTGTTTTTTGATAGTTTTTTTCTTCCCCTTGTATTTTATGGTGAATGCACACAGGCAACCCACTATCAAGGTGAGATTAATTTCATGTAACTTTGTTCCTTTCATATAGATTTAGTCTAAATTAGGTGTTCAGGCTCTCTTTCTACTTTGAGGAAAAAGATCATGAACATCACTTTCAACA